GAAAAGGTCATCGTGCTCCTGCTCTTGCCCTCTGGAATGATGGGAAATGGGCAGTTGTTCTCACTCTGAGCAAACACCTGCAGGATATTTCTATGTGCTATGCCTTTCTTTCACAGTGACTTACAAGAACGTCAACTTTTTAAATTCAATACAACCTACCTCAGAAAGGTGCTCTGATGAGCAATGGACACAAAAGTATAGCAAGATTTTCTAAGAATAAATACGCTATACATATTGAACATGGTTTGGGGACATTTACTATTGAGAGCAAATTATTATTAGCAAAGGCTTAATCACAGTGATATCTAAATGAAAATAAGGAATAAATCAGACACTTAGTTTGAGGAGCTAGATTTTTATGAGGCCAGAGATCTAATGATAGGAATTTAATGCAAATTAAAATAGCTATCAAATCTCCGTGGTCAAATTAGTTAACAACTAAGAACCGTTTAATAAAATATTAATGTTTTAAGTGTATGACTGTGTTTGGAAACAAAGAAAAAGGACAAGGGTCTCTGGTTTACATCAGTTTTTATGTTTTTTTTTTATTTTGTCTTAAGTTATGTCTAACAATAATACTTTCAAAAACATAAAAAGCCTTAGCCACACTTATTTAACATTTTACCCCAGTGAGTCAGCTCCCCAGAACAGGCAAAAGCATTTTTGGCAGTACCTATGTTACCTTGTAATGTAACCCCATCCTGACCTTGATTGGCTTATCAAATGAGCTCATCCTCGGAGCTGAAGAAGTGTCGTGTGTCAGGGAAACAATGTGACAGCAAGCTAGCACAGTACTGCACGCTCTCGGGAGGACACCAGGGCACTGTCTGCTCTCTTCCTTCGCCAGTACAACTTCCGTCGAGCTTAGATAATACAGAGGGCATGTGAAGCACTAGAACATGGAGCACTGGTTCTGACAAATCCATATTTGAGACTTAGAGCTGCCACTTTCTGTGTGACTGAACTTTCAGATTGGTTAAAATATTTTCCTCATTTGTTAAACATTTTTTTGATTTTGTATTCTAATTTATCACAAAGTGGCATTGAAACATATGTGAATGGAGCCTCGCACATGGAGCTTGGCTCATAGTTTTCAATAAAGGGTCTTCATTTTTCTTTACAGTAAGAAAAGGATTGGGAGATAAACACACCAATCACATGTGTCACATGTTACTGACGGACCCATCCCAGTGAGTCATTACTTATCAAAGATAGGACCCCTAGCAGAGTGAGGAACTCCGGCATGTTGACTCAAACATCAGAGGTCTACTCTTTCATTAGAGATAGAGCCTCGGCGCACGTGGTTTTGAATGTGAAGAGCCCAGTGAGAATTCAGTGAGCTTAAATGTTAGCATGGAAAAATTTTAAACGTAACAAAGATCTTGGATTATGAAAATTCTTTGACTACATTAGTTATGCTCTCCTTACTAAAATCAGGAGGAAAGAATAGAAACCTGAAACATTGTGTTTGATTTTCAGAGTAAGCATTCTTACAGATTTATTTATTTATTTATTTACTTACTTATTTATGCTTTATCTTGCTACTTTTGATTTTTCAGGTAAGTGCATACCTTAAGGTTTCCATGGTAGGACAAAAGTGAAGTGGGGAAAACAATACCCTAATTTTTTGATTAAAATATAATGTATTGGGTGTCATCTAATAACAGTTTGTAATTAGAGTTGGAGAGTTCAGAACTTGATAGCAGACACACGAGAGGCAAGAAGCATAACTAGTTGAATGTCGATTGTCTGGATGGTTTCTTTTTTCCAGACTGAGGTAATGATAGCGATGTTTGAAATTGCCCAGGTCATTGAACATGGAGGAAGAGAGGCAGAGAACTGAATGTTCTCATGGGCATTTAACATTTGAATGAATAGAAACATCTTTCTCTCCAGTTTCTTCTCAAGAAATAAGGGCTAAAGACTACATCTAATTTGTTTATTTTAGTGTTCCAAAGTATTTTCCTTCTTACACACATCAATTTTATAAATAAAATATTGCTCAAGATATAACAGTTAAATAAGTAGGTGAGTGGACTTGGTTATAAGATATAGAACCTTCCCACCTACTGCTTCCTAGGACTTAAAGTTCCATAATTAGACATGCATATGGCTTTCTGCTGGAACACAAACACTCATCAACTCCCATTTACAGTAATTGTACCTTTTTGTGAATGACTTTGTCATTTGTTTCCAGGAAACTGCTTTCTATCTCTGCAAGGAGCATCCTTATAATGAAGTGGGGACATAATGATGGTGAGAGATTGTCAGGAGGAAAAAGGAGAGGCTGAGTGATGAAGACTTTGCCATTATGCTTAGACAATATTCTGCTGCATCACTTTATAAAAGGACATTGTCAGAGAAAGGACTTCTAGCTAATGGCATTGCATTTGTAAGTTCAACAAGGTTGATATTTTCCACGTAATCAGTTACATGAAAGTACACGTTATATGGACCTGCGGGTCAGTAATTACATCTGCTTCCTGGATTGTGTCATGTCTCCCTCAGACTCATGGCATCCCTTTATCTTACATTTGTAGTATCACATCTCCTGACACTCCACGTAGAGTTATTCATACCATGAAGCACAAGGGTAATTCTTGTTCTAATCCATTTTGCAGAGCTGACAGTGACAACAAAGATCAAGGAGTCTGTAAGTGATGACGGTGCTCATTTGTTTAAATGTCAAACCCTAACATCGCCAACTTTCAGGACATATGTGAGTAGAGCATGAGCTCTGTTCACCCAGAGAAGACTTCAGTGTTATTCAGATGTAATCCAGTCCTCAGGGAAATAGCTGTCACTATCTAGAGACGAAAATTCTTTGGGTAAATCTTTCTTCTAAGCTGAATGGAACTGGGTGTTTAAGGACTTGAGGCTGTGGATAGTACTGTCTTCGTTGACATTATGGAGTAGCCTCAGTGTAGACATATTACTCTTCCCCCAACCAGCAAATATGCATACGTCTGAACTATGCAATAGGGCCATGAAGGCTGCATCAGAGAGTCTATGCAAAGCAAACTGGAATACATCAAAGAAGAACATGTTTATCACAAAGATTAAGCCTAAGATAAAATTGGGGAAGGAAAATGGTGGTGATTTATAGCTTTTCCTCCTTTAAAAAATTTTACTTTTCTTGATTTTAAGAGCAATAATATCCCTTCTTAGACAGGGTTTCATGTGAAGTGACTAATAGTGGAGCTTTACTGGCAGTGTACATAGATCCAGAGGAGAAAAGAAGCCCATCCCATAGGCTGTTTGCAGACAACCCAGGACAGAGAATATATTCTCTACCTGCTTTCTAGCTTTAGAGTAGAATTCCAATTGAGAGTTCTGGATCTGAGGTCAGAATAAATGGGGCTGAATCTAAATCATGTCCTCTAATAAGCCATCATATCTTTTAGTGTGGTTTATTTTAAAATTTAAGCAGTAGTGTGTATGTCAAGTGGTCTTGCAAAGGTAGATACTCAATGCATGTTCAATTTCTATCATTCACTTAGCAGTAAGTATGGGAACATGCAGTAACTGCTGTCCTGCTCACAGTGTTCTGTTTGTGGCTGTGGCTCTGAGGATGACAAGGTGGGAAACAGAACAGGCACAACCATTGAAAGAGGTATTCTCAAAACAAGAGGCTGAATCGCATCTACTCACATGTTCATGCACTTCCATTGGACACTAAAATTGCCTTTATTCTTAATCCTAAGAAAAATTCAAAACGCAAAAGATCCTAAAATAATAAAAAGCAAGCTAAAAAGTTCTCAGAGATTTCTTGTTGCCTGACGCGCATCCTCTCTAAAGAGCCCTCTTGGTCACACACTGTCAGCTCATCTACACTGTGAACTGGAAGAGAAGGTAAAGCCAGGGCAGTGTTGCAAGCCTGCTGAGTTCCTTGCGGCCACAATCTTTGTTTTTGACTTCCCAGCCCATTTCATATCACTCACCTCTCCCCCTTCTTATTGGGGAGACAGCACCGTCTCCAGGCTGCCTGCCTCCTCTGGTCATTTTCAACAGCCTTCCTCCACACTGCCCTCTGCATTTGAAAAGCCTTCTGCTCTCCATTCATCAAGGTACATACTCCTTCCATTCACAATTTAAGTAGTAGCTTCCTCCCGAAGGAAGCACCTTTTCTTGAAAGAGATTCCCCCCTCCTGTCCTCATGAATCCACCATCACAGCTCCCATAGTTTCCTTACTCCTCACTTTACCCCTCAGAAATTGTGGTTGGAAGAGCAGTAATGAGCGAGTAAGGAAACCTGTGTTTATAGAGACCAAGACAGACTGATATTAAGCGTAGTCTCATTGTAAGAAAAAGGAACCAGTTGGTACAAATATCTTTCTGAAACTGGTAACAACCACTCATTGGGGGGAAATAAGTATTAGTTGATGGGTGAATGAATGAATGAATGAATGCTTGAATGGGTGGTGAGGACGAGCTCCGGAGCACTTTTCTTGGATGCTCCTCCTTCCTCTTGCTGCTCCAGGCACGGTTTCTGTTTAATTCCGCTTCTGGCTTCTGTGATTGAGCGCCAGCCTCTGCCTCCACTCTGCCCCTTCATTACCACTTCTTGACCCGAACCTAAACCTCCTTGCTAAAGGGCAGGATACCGAGCTCAAAAAGGCCTTATGACTTCATTAGTTTTTCCGGATGCAAGCCCTCCCCAGGAAACCCACCCAGTCTGCACAAAAGCATTACAGATTCCCCCACACTCAGCAAATCCACCTGGAGGTCCTTGTCCCTCTCCTTGCGCTTGTAAGCTAGGTTCTGAAACAGAAACAGTTTCCCTCTTTTCTCTGCAGACAAACACAATAATCATTCTAGAGATCGTCCCTACTTTGTAAAATCAGAAAACTTAACCCCCCCCCCAAATTATTAGAAACCTCACTCAAGAGCAGCGACCTCTTTGTTTGCACCCCAGGAGAAGGGAGGGGTCTCCCAGCCTTGCAGCCTGGGCGGAGGAGAGGTGACAGCCCTTCTGGAGGGTTGCCCGCCACCAGACTCACCCAGGACGTTCCCGATGAGAGCCACAACGAAAACGATGATGTACCCTGCTATCAGGACCCACTCATATTCTTTAGGGTGTAGGTATTCCCTCCACAGGTACCGCAGGAATTCCTCGTCGTCATAGTCCGTAGGGTTTAAAAACGGCTCTTGAGTTTCATTCAGCTCCGGAGCGGATGACCAGTTGCGACGAAGGAGGGAATCCTCCAATTTGGTGCTGGACATCACGGACTGGTCCTGTTCGGCTCAGTGCTGCAAGCTTGTCTTCGCCTGCCCCATGAGCACCGGGGATCCGCGGTGGGAAAGGCTGCGCCGCCGCGACTAGGGGCTCCGGAGCCGGGAATGACGTGAAAAGTTCCTGAGCCAATGCCTCCGGAGCCCTGCCGCCCGGCAACTTCGGCGGCCGCTTCCGTGTCTTTGCAGGGGAAGCTGCTGAGGAGAAGCTGCTGAGGAGCTCGGGAAAGGGAAGGGGAGGCTGCAGCAATGACTGGGAGCAGAGATTTACCTTGACCTCAGCTCCAGCTCAACCAGTCTTCATTCCAGCAGCGAGTTTCCAGCCCATAGCCTCCTCCAGGGCTGAGGGACAGACAGATGAAGCTGAATAAGAAGAAAAGAAAGAGGGAGTGGGAGGGCGAAGGCAATTATCTTAACCTGTTTCTTTGTGGATCAAACGTCCTTTTTCCTATCACTTTCTCCCTGTTTTCCATGCAGTTTTCCTAACGTGCACTGGCATGCAGAAGCCTGTGGACGTGGCTGGAAGGTCAACATATGGCTAATGCCGGATCCGTGGCTTCACTTCTCTTTGTAGCACAAATGTAAAAGTAATCCCGAACCACTCTAGTCTCCAACAGACCCATGCAAAAGTCATTTCATCCAAATGTTTTAATATTTAATATGGCATCGCAGTGTTCATCATGAGCCAAGTTGGCAGTGGTTGAACTGCTAAGGCATTGCCTGCCACTCCTTATCAAACACGAGGAGAGAGTCACTTTTAATTGAAAGTTGTATTCAATAGGGATTTGCACTTTCAAGGGCAAGTGTAACAAAGCACAACAGAACCTACTTTTATGCTGCTTAATGGGCACAGTATTAACCTGACTCCTAATGACTTATTATAGTAACAGATTAATGCAGCTCCCCACCCTCATCGGAGGAGCTTCTTTTTTGCAGGGGATGGTGATTAACGCAGAGATCCAGAACTGGCCAAGGTGCAGATAATAAGAAACTGCAAGATGCTGAGCCCTAAAGGAACACATTATACCACAACCCCTCCTCCCACAGCCCAGAGCTCACTTGGGGAAGAGGAGCCCGAAAGAGAGCAAGAGTTAGCAGCAATAGAGGACTGCAAGGAATCGGTGTCCTCTGGCCACTGTAGCGCAGCTGCACATGTGAAATCACAGTGGTTGTGACAGCATGCACGAGACCTGTGCAAATCTAAGCCAGAACAAATGCCAGCACGGAGAGAAGGAGCTGAAGACCTATTGGCAGCGGTTAGCTGCTGGGAGGGTTGGGGTTTTTTCTAAGTATGTCCTCTGGTAAGTCTCCTGCCATCAGTGAAAGACCCTACATCCAAAAGTATCTTACCTCAAATTGGTCTTGATGGGTTAAAAAAAAAAAACCCACAAAGTTGGAAATGTAGAAAAGGCAGGGTAGGTCTTAAAAAAGTTGGAAGAGGGGAGTAAATAGGATCAAAATAAGTACAAAATTCTCCAAGAACTAATAAAACGATGATGTATTCATGTACAAATTTAATTTTGTTAGAGCCTTAAGAAGATCATTTAAATGCTAATGTTATCATCCAAAGAATCATCCATTCCTCCAGAACTGTTGGTACCTGTGAGAGTGGGGAGCAGGTCTTCCATGGGCTTCATTTAAATCCACTGATAGAAATCTGGTACCTGTTGAGGGCTGGTGTCTCCCTATGATTTATTAATATTTAATCATCCTTTCCCACAATAGTCATTTCAACTGTGAAGGCTTGTTGTACCTTGGATTGCATTTACACTTGTTAGTGTCTGCAAGTTCCTTGCTATTGGTGATCTATAAGCATGGGCTCCATCTGTTTTTCTGAGTCACTGTCATTAGCTGTCATTGTAGGGCACTGAACCTGTCTACACTTTGTCTTCCCTTTGAAACTCTTCTACTGTGATTAATCATGCCTGTGTGTTGCAGTTGTCAGTGGGGAGAAATGAGAACATCTTTAAGACTTTCTTCCAATGCCTGCCTCATGTTGCACAAGCCTGGATTTATCTTCAGGCGATGAACATTCCTTTTCCTCTTCCCCGTGCTTTATCAGATGCTTTCATTAAAGTCTGTGGTACTCAAATGCCATAGAAATTCCACTGAAACTTCCCAGTTGCAATGCACTTTCCATTTCTCTAAGCATAAGAGAAATGATAAATATCTCAGTCCATTATACTGTAACCGACTGGACCTTCTTTAAGTCTGTTAGCCTCTCTTACAATTTTCCCAGGCTACCATTCACTTTGAAATCTTTCTGCTGTAATAAAGAAGTGGTGTGAACCCAGTATCAGAGCACAATATAATTTCTGATTCTAAAGTTGACACGTTAAATCCTCTAAATAATATTTTCCAAACAATATCTTTTATTGGAAGTAGTCTGGTTCTGTTTTTATAAGTAATATTTTGAATGTATTATTTCATCACTTTCGGTCTAAAACCAAGTGTAAATTATATGTTTTCTCAGCACAAAAATCATTTGCTATACACTTAAATTTCTGCATTAATACTCTCCACAAAAGTAAAATGTATCTTATAGTAGTATGTGCAATCTCTTCGTTTTTTCTTTATATCATTTTTATTTTACATACCAACCACAATTTCCCCTCCCTTCTCTTCACTCATTCCCTACCCCTTATCCCCCCTACTCTACCATCCATTCCTCCCTCTTCTCCACTTAGATGAGGTAAGGCCTCCTATGAGAATCAATAAAACATGGCACATCGAGATGAGGCAGGATCAAGCTACTCCCCTGCCCCCTGCATCAAGGCTGAACAAGGTATCCCACTCTAGGGAAAAGGGAATAAGTTCCAAAGAGCCAGCTCATGCATCAGGAACAGGTCCTGGTCCCACTGCTAGGAGCCCTATAATAATTTCTATTAGACATCTCCAACCCTCTTAATAACCAAAACATATTGAAATTTAGTGAAAGTGAGGAAAATTAGCCACAAAACCAGATTTTTAATTATTTTCTAGTGGTTTTACTTAGGTTTTTCACAATCTCAGAATATGTTTTCTGTCCCATTTGCTATTCTCTTATTTATAGTATGAAACCATTTTGCTGTCTTTTTTTCTAGGCCTACCATAACTTTCTGGATCCATGTCAGTAGATGTTTCTGAGTATTTACTCTGTTTCCAGGAATTTTTCTAGAAATGATGGCCATAAATATGAGTAAGATTGCCCTCAATGACCAGTCAGTTGATTGGGTGATCAATGTTTAGGTTTTCAAGTCCGTGAGTTGTTGGGGAAGGAAGAAGCACACAATGCCATGAGGTCATGAAGGAATACATTAGTCAGCAAGCAGAAACCCAGAGTGGGTGGTTTTGTCACCAGAACATGTCTCCAGCTGACTCCTTAAGGACAATGAGGAGGTCACCGAATGGCTAAGGAGGGAGGCTTTCAAGCTGAAGAATTTGAAAAACCAGAAGCAAAAAAGCAAAGTGAAGCAAGGTTGGCTTTGTAGCTTTGAGACCATCATTGTTAAGAGTGTAGTGATTTCCCTAGAAAGATAGAAAGGGGAGGTTAGCAAAGCTCTCCTACAGGAAAAGAGGCTGTTCAGGGCTGTGGAAACTGACTGGAGTTGAGAAATACTTGAAAGTATGAGTATGAATAAAGAATTCTACTATGAGATAATAAGATGACTTCCATTTATTTCTGAGTTTAGCTGTACATTAAGATGACTTTTAAGACTACATATTTATTAAGTATGGTATAAGTATGGTATTTCAATAACTGTACAAGTTATAATGGTCAAATCTGGGAAATCAACATATTCATGACCTAAAAGCTGCCATTTATTTGTGGTAGGTACATTCCAAACCAACTATTTTAGATAATATAAAATAAACAATATAGTTTTTAGATATACTGACTTTTTTAGGTATTTCTCTTCATCAGCTGTGACTTTGTACTTGCTAGCTGATCCCTTCCTACTCGTTCCCGCTCCCACGCTTTCCAGTCTTTAGAAATCACTGGTCTGTTTTCTGCTTCTATGAATGAGATATAGAGAGCAGGAAAAGAGAAGCATCCCATGTTTGACTCCTTGGTGCTTATCAATTTTTGCCTCCCTTCTCTGTTGGACTGAGAATGAACCCTCTCAGTAATGACTTCACTGAAAGCATATATGTCCAAAATGAGTGCTATACCTCAATTACACAATGTCTTATAACACACCCAAGTGCTAAATCCTTCTGAGAAGCTCAGAGTTACAGAGGTTCTAGAACCTTGTATGAATGGAGATGAGTCCTCTTGATCAAGTGTTACTTTGGGATTATACTGCAAATGAAAAATTTCAGATAAGGAATGATTAAACATGAGTAATAAAGTCCACTTGCCAAAATTTACTGTAAAACATGTGTCTTCTCTATCTCTATTTTTTTTTATTCTCGGCTATTGCCTTTTTGAAAATCTATTTTGACATTTTTATAGTCATTTATCTTCAAATATATGTTTATTCATATATACTCTGATACTTTTGACTATTACCCAACTCCAGCCAGTCTCCACATCTACAGCCACAACCTCTCTTCCAGTAGCAGAATTGTAATAAATGTATTCATACCTTCATCATCACCCTCACACATGCTCCTCCTTTCATCAAATTCCTATGTAAATTTCACATCTTTCTGTTTGATTTTTACTTTTGCATTTTTATTTAACTAGGGTCATGTACACGAGTAAGGACATGTAGCTCTTCAATGAAGCCTAAGGCAATCACAAGTGGCTGTATCTCAAAGGACAATGGCTTTTCTCCCAGTAGCACTCAATTCCCATTAGCTCTCTTGGATGTAGTGGGGCCGCATTAGCCCCTCTCTTCTCATCTTTGACTCGTATTTTTTTTTTTTTACAAGCTCAGTCTTTTTCAAGTTCTGTGTAGGCTGTTTTGAACTCAGAAGTGCCATGGCCATGTCTTATTCAAAAGATAGCATCCCTAATTTTCATTCTACTATCTATCTCTTATATTCATTCCATTATCTTTTCCACC